CTTCTGTTAATAACGACCTTCAGGGATATACCTGTTAGGAAGGGTTTTATAACAGAGAAAATCCTTCTAGTGATTTAATAGGTAGGGAGCTTGTGTAGCAAAACTTTGCGCCACACCTTGTCAAAGGCTTTCGAGATATCTAACGCTATGGTCCTTGCAAGGGAAGCAAGAAATCTGCAAGGAGTTCCACAGGTGGGGCGTGAGAGAAAAGAAGCTGTTAGAGTAGAAGTGGCGGTTGCATTTAGCTAGTTCAACAGTAAAATAATGGGACCTAGTTGCCAATCTAGTAGCACGCTTAAATTCATGTATTCGGGCCACCAGGGAAAAAAGCTCGTCAGAGCAGTTACCATGGAAATATTGGTAGAAAAGATAAAGAGAAGCCACCTCCTTTCAAGGAGAAAGTAACTGGTCGAGATGCCAGGTGATGATGGATTACATTAAAAAATGCTTCATTGGACTTTGTCAAGAAACTCGAGATGTACAGCCGGAGCACCTGACTCTATATGGAAACAGTATCCAATGCATAGATGTAAATGTGCAGGATGGATTCTGACGAGAAAACATTTCTAGTACAACACAGTGACTCAAATTTCCTTGCAGTAGTTGCAACTGTTGTTTCATTGTAAGCGTTCTACTTCATGTCAGTGGAAAATGTGAGCCCAAGAAGGCCTCATGTGTTGCTCTCCAGGAGTCTTGCATCAGACATGCTGCTGGCAGGCAGACAAAAAAAAAGGTTCTCTGTGGTGATTAAATGAAAGATGTTTTGGCAATGTTCAAATTCCCAAGAACAAGAAATGTTCCAGTTAACCACTGAGTGGAGGTCCTTTTCACGAGCAACTGCCAGGTTTACTTCGTCAGTTCTGGCGGTTTTGCTACTGAAACAGGAGTAAATGGTACTGTCATCATTCTGATACTCTATTTCAATTTTAAGCAGATTAAGTCGGATTAGCCGAAATTTCCAGAAAAGTTCGATTAAATTCTCAGACGTATTACATAAACTAAGTTCGATTAAGAAATATCTTTATTCTTCCAAAACCCCTACCCTACCTTAACTTAACCTCTTTTCGAAAGTAACTCATATTTTGATACAATAGTTGTCAGTGAAAATGATTACCCTACCACCTCTTGTCAAAATGATTGGATTTCCCCGTATCCTTAGAAACGAATAGTATGAATGTATGTGCTTATAAAACTCTTCAAAATAAGTTATTCCAAAATTCTCTTAAAAATGAAACAGGACTTAAGACTTTAATTTTGTTTCTATAATTGAATTTGAAGTTGTTAGTTTCTGTTTTTAAAACATGGTAATTCCTGTGTAGCGATGGAACCATATTTATAAACTAGTAAATTTATATATATATATATATATATATATATATATATATATATACAAAGAAATAATCATGCATAGAATCAATCAGCAATATTAATACTATTATTGGCCATATCCATCGCTAGTAGTATATAATGTATGCATTAAAATACTGTTAATCCATAGAATTATGTGATATTCATTTATAAAACTGTTGTCTGTTGTTTCCAGTTGATATTTTTTTAAAATGCAAGTAATTTCGAATAATCCTTTATTCATCGTCAGGCATATTTTTTTCCTTATAAAATTAAAACTTGGAGACGAAATAATTGTTTGTAGACTGAAAGATGTTTTTTTTAGACGGTTGTGTACTATATCGAAACGTGCAAAGACGCAACGCTAAGTTTTTAAAAATTTTAAGCGAGAATTTGAACTTTTCTTGTGACGTGGTAAATCCACGTATTCTATTTTTACAATTGTTTTCAGTTAATATGTCATGAACTAAGTATATAGTTCAATTAATATAGTGTTATGTCTTAGTGGTAGTGTTTTCTTACCTGCAGCTCATGACGAGCAATCATTATATTTTGTTTAATTTGACGAATTAATTTCCTCGAAGATCTTAAAAGAAATCTTCCGTTGAGTTTTGGTTTTCAATAGTTTTTAGTTGTTTTATATACCTTGCAATCAAAGACCTAATGGTAATAAGTGGAATATCTGGGCTATCTGTGATTTTTCTATAACATTTACCTTCTTTCCAGAGCTTAACAATCAGATCTTTTTGCGAATTTGTTAATTCTTTACCTCTTGTCATGATGAAAGCCTTCTTGCACGAAAATCAATTACTTAATGTTCTGTTTGTATCTTTAGACTGAAAATAAGTACTGATAAATTTATTGGAACATTCTAGGATATTCCACTTTGATAATCTAGAGTATTAAAGCAATTTAAAAGATTTAAAATCTGAAATTTGTATTGTACGAATACTTTTCCAGACATTAAAGTGGATAAATGACATTTATTTCTATTAAATCATTTTTTCTGTTTTCTATGCATATTTAGTTATTATGCATCTGTGTACAGTTAATTATATGTAAAGTATGTCTATTCATTAGTTAGAAATACAATAAATTAAAAATTTGTTTTCCCCTACTGAATATATATATATATATATATATATATATATATATATATTGTGTGTGTGTAAATGTGCATTATATATTGTAAATGTGCATTATATATTGTACATTATAATGTGCATATAAATTCGTTAGTTAACCTCATTCCAATCATTATTCAATTACTATTTAATTCTCTCACCTTTCAATCTATTCATCCCATTTACCTGTCTCTGTCTGTCTATCTTTCTTTCTCTCTCTCTCCATATATATATATATATATATATATATATATATATATATATATATATATCCGTTGTGTGCATGCGCGAGTGTGTGTGTGTGTGTGCTTGCGCGTATGTGTGTGCATGTGTGTGCTCAATTACGCGATATCTATCAGTTAATTACAACCTCAAACTTCATTCCAATTTTTTCACGACATACTAATCATCCCCTTCAACTAAGTCCCCATATTGGCCGTTTCGCCCTCTCCACACCGCTGCTTCCTTTATTTTTCCATTACCATCTACGCCACGCTCAACCCCGGCCAAAATTTCACCCTGGCCTCATCAGAGTTCGTTGAACGTGCGCAGAGATACGCGCTCTATGAGAATTTTTCCCGCCATGCTATTCAATACGACAGACTCCCTCGGTTCATAGGTCGGGCTTAACTTCCTCCAATACAATATTCCGGGATCTTGCCGCTTGCCAGAGATGTTATTAACTCAAAAATAGATATCGGCTTCTCACAAAGAGCCGCGGACTATATGTGGTCGGACCACCACAGACATTGTACTTGTGTGAACGTCGTTCCCTGATATCCTCGACACTCTTCCGCCATTTTTCTATTCCTCTGGTCATCTACTCTTTTATTACTTTAGTTTTCGTCTTCTTTCTTTCTTTCTTTTTTTTTTTGCTCCCCTTTTTACCAACTTAACCACTCACTTTCTTACTCGACACTTGCTACTTTTATCTTTTCTTTTAAATTAGTTCTTCTTTCCACTTCATTTCCGTTTCAAACTCTTCTCTTTTACACCCTCTTTCTTCATCTTCCCTATAACTTTTCTTTCTCATTTTTCTCTTTACTCTTCTAGCCGTATTGCATATATTTTCTACTTGTCTTGATCTATCTATCTATCTATCTATCTATCTATCTATCTATCTATCTTAGTCTATTCTTATCTGTCTCTCTGTCTTTCTGTCTCTCTATCTATCTTATCTATCTTAGTCTATTTATATCAATCTGTCTATTTTAGTCTATTCATATCTATCTATTTAGTCTAATCATATCAATCGTTTTTAATCTGTTCATATCTATCTTCGTTTATGCATATCTAACCATTTATCTTAGGCTATCTATCTATCTATCTATCTATCTATCTGTCTGTCTGTCTGTCTGTTTCCCTGTGTTACTCTATTCGTATCAATCTACCTATTTTAGTCTATTCATATCTATTTCTCTGTCTATATATCTATTTACCTATCTAAGTCTATTCATATCAATCGGTTTTAATCTGCTCATATCTAGCTAGCTAGCTGTCTATCTATCTATCTATCTATCTATCTATCTAGCCTCTCTCTTTTTTAATCAATATACGTTTTGATTCGGTCCCATTATGACTTGTCTCGTCGTCTTTATCTCTTTCGTCATTTCATCACGTTTTTCTTGTCTATTCTCTAATTCTGTGTGTATGATTTGTATATGTATTTGCGTACACGTATTTGGTATATGTGGGTGCATTTGTAAAGGAATTTGTTTCTCTTTCTTTCTTTCACTATAAATTCCTCCAAGCGGAATATTTCTCCAAATATTTTCTCGAAATAACTCCGGCTTTTTTTTTCTCACTCAACCTTGAACCAACACTTGGTTATTTAAGATTTTATGCGTAGATGAAAATACGGTAAAAAGCTTACGTCAAATTTAATCCTTGATAGTTTTTATCAAATCCTTATTAAAAAAAGAACTTAAGTTTTCTTTGCCAGTGAAAATGTTTTCATCATCATCAGCAAACTGATATCGGTCAAATTTTAATCATGCACTTTTTTTTAAATTTAATAAATAGCACATTCCTTTATATATATATATATATATATATATATATATATATATATATGCTTGAATATTGTATTCCTTCTTTTATCTTTTATTTCATGTACATGTATATATATATATATATATAGAATATAATACAGTGGTCAAGATATATATATATATATATATATATATATATATATATATAGAATATCAGTGGTCAAGATATATATATATATAGAGAGAGAGAGAATATCAGTGGTCAAGATATATATATATATATATAGAATATAATATCAGTGGTCAAGATATATATATATATATATATATATATATATATATATATATATATATATATATATATATATATATATATGTGTGTGTGTGTGAATTTACAAGCGGTTAGAATCCAGGTAGAACTCAATGTCCAGGACAGGGTATAAAAGGCTTAAACACTAATATTGCTGCATGGTTGTAATTTATGACATTGGAATCGTAATCGCGATCCAATTCTTAATTACGATTCCAATGTAATAAATTATAACCATGGAATATTAGTGTTAGAGCCTTTTACATATTTGTTTGCGTATGTGATTTTTAATTTTTTTTGTTGTTTAAATGTTATTTTTGAGTGATATTCATATTCGAGTAGAAGCACTTTTTTTAATTAAACGGTATTTTTATACAACTAAATCTACTGGCCTGAATATTCGAGAAATCTTGTCAGAAAAATATGCCCCACCCCGGAAAGTTTAAAAAAATAAATTAACAATGTCACCATGTTTAATTTAATCCATATATATATATATATATATTAGATAGATACGCATATATATATATCTTTATCTTTCTCTCTCTCTCTCTCTCTCTCTCTCTCTATATATATATATATATATATATATATATATATATATATTAGATAGATATGCATATATATGCATCTTTTTATCTATCTCTATATATATATATATATATATATATATATATATATATATAGAGAGAGAGAGAGAGAGAGAGAGAAGGGGAGAGAGAAAGAGATGAGAGCAATGGATACCAGCTCGGATTGAATTATTAGAGAAATGAGTGCTAATTCCAGTCGTATTCATTATATTCACTTATGTGCTAATATCCTTAGGGAATGAATTAATCCCCACAGCTCTGCTCTGGTCTAAGAAAAGAAAAACTGAATTCAAAACCTGCGAAAGATTGTTTGGGGACCTTATGTCATTAACTCTTCGCATTCAGCTCTTCCAAAATGTCGTTGGTTCTGCACAATCTTTCACTGCTATAATAAAATGATATACGTGGGTAGACTGGCTGTTGTTTCTAAGAACAGAGCTGCTTCACTATCAGAAACGTCTGGAGAGTCCAGTGCATCGAAAAGAAATGCTAAAGAGCTCTTAGAGTTATTGAAAAAAAAAAGAATGGAATCAATTATCAAACTTATGCTTTGAGAAACCTTTGCAACGAATTTTGTCATAATAAAATTTCTAAGAAAAAATCATGTCTCAGTTTTTTACCATATATAATAATTTTCTCTTTTCTAAAGTACAAAGTATCTACTTTTTGGCCCAATTTCAAAAATTACCGGGAGTTTCCTCAATGTTTTGAACTGCAAGTGTTTATAGTTATTAAAATATATCATTTTGTAAGAAACGAGAAAATTCCTTAAAAACAAAAAAAAAAGAGTGCTTAAACACTATATAATAGTGATCCATCTATATGCCATTGAATGCTCCACAGATGAAAAGGAAACTTGAGACGAGAAAGATACTGGGAGTACCATGAATAGAACATGCCAATAACAAAGAAGTCTTGAGGAAAGTGGAATCAAAAAAGTCTCTTCTATTTAGATTCAGAAAGAAACAGTTGAAATTTCTGGAACATAAACAGGCTTGGAGAAATCAACACTCCCAGTTCCTGTTGAAGACAAGTGTAACCGAGGCATACATCAACCAAATTAAAGAGCATATATAAGTGGATTTCAAACCGGCAAATGGGAAGGATAGTCAAAAATCAAACATTTCTAAGGACTCCAAAGGACGGTATGCTGTAGAGGTATACCTAATGCTTTTTATCTTTTTTTTTTCTCTTTGAAATTAGTTCATCTCCCCTCTACCCTTTCTATTGATTCTCCTTTTCTTTCTCGTTTCTTTTTCCTCCCCTCACCTAAATAATCCTTTCACTTTTTTCTTACCTTTCTATTTGATGGATCTTTGACAATATTGCATTTATATTTCTGTGTTTTTTCCGCTAATCTTTTTATCTATCTATCTATCTATCTATCTATCTATCTATCTATCTATCTATCTATCTATCTATATATATATATATACATATATATATATATATATATATATACACACACATATATATGTAGCTAGTTTAGTCTGTTCATATCTATCAATCTCATTCTGTTCATTATCTATATATATATATATATATATATATATATATATATGTGTGTGTAAGAGAGAAAGAGTGTGTGTATGTGTGTGTCAGGCAGCCTTAACGTTTGAAACGCGTCATAAAAAAACTGTTTTCCAATTTTTCATACATATTTTCATTCAAAATTGTACTTGATATATAAAAATTTACATATCATTATCCTATTGAATTGCCCTCTCCTTCTCCTCCTTCTATTCACCTCCTGCTACACCTCACGTCGTGCGCTTATTCATTTTTTTATATAGAGTTCATAAATTTGTATTTTCTAAAAAAAAAAAACTTAGGAAATCAATTGATCAAAATCGCCTGAAGATACCAAAAGGTTGAAACCAAGGTAGCGGAATCGGCTGATTTCTCATCCATATATATATATATATATATATATATATATATATATATATATATATATATATATATATATATATATTATAAAATAGTCATTCAAAGCATAAATCAATATATTTAATGTAATTAATGGCGAATTCACTTCGCTAACAGATTAAATAAGTTATTAACTTACTGACCACACGGTGAAAGGCGTGATCCTTGTTTTTATTAAATGTGCTATGGATTAGATGTTTTTATATATATATATATATATATATATATATATATATATATATATATATTAGATGTCATATATATATATATATATAATATATATATATATTAGATGTTATATATATATATAATATATATATATATTAGATATATATATAATATATATATATATATATTAGTCAGTTCCTATATAGATAGCCAGCTTACTCTATTCATATTCATCTATCTCATTCTGTTATCCATTCATCTATCCATCATCCATGGTAAGTAGATTCCATCCATCTATCTATCTATCTATCCATCTATCCATGGTAAGCAGATCCCATTCATCCATCTATCTATCTATCTATGGTAAGTAGATTCCCATCCATCTATCCATCCATCCATCTATCCATCTATCTATCATCTATCCATCTATCTATGGTAAGTAGATTCCCATTCATCCATCTATCTATCCATCTATCTATCTATCTATCTATCTATCTATGGTAAGTAGATTCCTATCCATCTATCTATCTATCTATCTATCTATCTATCTATGGTAAGTAGATTCCTATCTATCTATCTATCTATCTATCTATGGTAAGTAGATTCCTATCTATCTATCTATCTATCTATCTATCTATCTATCTATGGTAAGTAGATTCCTATCTATCTATCTATCTATCTATCTATCTATCTATCTATCTATGGTAAGTAGATTCCCTATCTATCTATCTATCTATCTATCTATCTATCTATCTATCTATCTATGGTAAGTAGATTCCTATCTATCTATCTATCTATCTATCTATCTATCTTAATATTTTTCATATCTATCTGGCTAGTTTAGTTTATTCATATCTATTTCAATCTCTTCCCTATCTCTCTGTCTAGCATGTTAGCTTAGTCGGTTCATATCTGCCTATATATTTATTATCTGCTAGTTTCTTTTGTATGCATTTATTGAAGATTAAACGAATCGAAAATAAAGGGGTCAGAGTAAAACCTCAATTAACCTACCTAGCCTGTTTGTGTAAATGAATTCCATGTCTGGAGGTGAGAATTATATTTTAAAAAAAAAGCATCTATTGCTAAGAACTATAAATGATAGGAAGTTGTGGAAAACCATGATCGTCAACGTCCCGAAGCGACACCACATGAAGGAAGAAGAAGAAATTTCCTCACAGTTGTTCCTTTTTTGTTTTAATATATTTCTGAACCCTTTTTATACCTTTTTTTATTTCTTAAAACTCGTCTCTTTTACTTTACTCTTTTCCATGTCTTCATTTGATTCTCTTTCTTCATCCTCTTTCATTTTTCTGCGTTATTTCCATTTTTATATCTCAAAGACGCTTCTCTCTATTTTTCTTTATATATATATATATATATATATATATATATCACTATGTTCTACACGATTATGCTCTTCCTTTTTTTCCTTTCTTTTTTCTTTTCCCTCTCTCTCTCTTTCTTGCCGCCCCTTTCGTTCCCTATTTATATAGTTCTCTTCCTTTTCTGTTCCTCGTAACAATATCTCAGTCCTGTGTTAATATCAAGTTCGAATCCTTTGCCAGTTTCGACTTTCGCCTCTCTGACCCTAATCTACCAAAGCCACAAAGGACAATGATTGAACTCAGGAAGAATAGTGGAGCAGACAATAACTGAGCAAAAATGGCAGGGTGAATCTGAAAGGAACCGGCGCCTGGTTATGAGGCGTGCAGAAAGGTTCTGGCATAGAATAGATAAGAATCGAATCATTGGTCTGTGGAATTGGTGAGAGGTTGGAATCTGCCGGTAATGATTAGTAATAAAATAAGGTGACAAAATCTTTCTTAAACACCCGCAAAATAGAGAAATTATATAATAATAATAATAACAATAATAACAATAATAATAATAATAATAATAATATGAATAATAGTAGTAGTGGTAGTGGTAGCAGTAGTAGGAGTAGTAGTAGTAGTAGTGTATATCTGTGGTGCGAAAATTCATGAAATAATAATAAAATATGACTTAATATCGGAATGTGTATTTACTATCATACTTTTCCCAACGTCTCGTGTAATGACCTGATTGTACTAAACAGGAAACAAAAGACGACCTAATGATGTTGATGATGATGATGAATATTTTCGGTGTATATATAAGCATTATATGTTGCAAAACAGCTACATTTTGATTTCATACACATAAAAATTACTTTGCAATTATTATTATTATTATTATTATTATTATTATTATTTCCTTTGATTCCTGGCGTGTACACATTTTTTCCGGGTCCCACCCAAAGACCTAAGGTTAGAAATGACATCATGACATTTTCAATTGACAAAAAAAAAATTACAGAGATAAAGCTCTTCGTAAGGTGTGGGCTGTACTCGTGAGAACAATTTTTTGTATTTCTTTAAGGCATGGATTTCCAGGAATCCCTTCGATTAGTCTAGTGGAATCTTTTCCAACCAATACGAGGGCTCTAACTACAACAGGGATTGTTGATGTTCCCATGTGTCACATTTTTGAGATTTTGATTTCAAGGTCCTTGCATTTTGATAGCGTTTTGAAGATCTTCAAATATACATCGCAGTCCGCAGGGACTGCCATATGAATAAGGAGGCACGTTTTTTTGTTTGCGGTCTCTAATAACAATGTCTGGGCGGTTAGCTTTGGTTGTTCTGTCTGTGTGTATTGTGTAGTCCCATAAATTTTTAACAGGTCCTATCTCCGTAACCGGGTCTGGGTGGTGTTCATACCAGTTTCTTTCAGTTTCCTTCCCGTAGAAGTTGCAGATTTTCCAGTGGAGTTATTGACCAAATCTGTCATGCCGGGTTTTATATTCAGTGGGTGCCAATACTGTGCAACGTGATACAAGATGAACAATTGTTTCTGGATATTTATCAGAGAATCTATATTTTGGTCTAACACAATATTTTAGTATGTGTGCTTGATAATTTCTAGTTAACAAGCATTGGACCTCTGCAGCAAGAATAAAACCTTCAGTTTCAGCTTTTAACCCTGCACTACGGGTTTTGTCTACGTCAGCTTGTTTGGTACGAGCAGAGTATTGGCAATGAAGCGGTTTATCTTGAAATTGTTTCTGTGTCTGGTCGGATGCATTTGTTTTTGCTTTCTTTTTTATGTATTTTGCAGCTTTAGTCGGTGTATTATGCTTTAATTGTATTTCTGCATCGATTTGAATCTCTTTTTTCTTCGTCTTCTTCTTCTTCTTCTTCTTCTTCTTATTATTATTATTATTATTATTATTATTATTATTATTATTTTCTTTGATTTCTGGCGTTTACACATTTCTTTCCGTGTCCCGCCCAGGGACCTAAGGTTAGAAATGGCGTCATGACACTTCCACTGACAAAAAAAAAAAAAAAAAAGATTACATAGATAAAGCCCTTCGTAAGGTGTGGGCTGTACTTGTCAGAACAATTTTCTGTATCTCCTTGAGGCATGGACTTCCAGGTATCCTTCAATTAGTCTACTGGAATCTTTTCCAACCAGTCCTAGGGCTCCAACTACAACAGGGATTGTTGATGTTCCCATATGCCACATTTTCGCGATTTCTATTTCAAGGTCCTTGTACTTTTGACAACTTTTTTTGAATATCTTCAAAGATACATTGCAGTCGGCAGGGACTGCCATATCAATAAGGAGGCACCGTTTTTTGTTTATGGTATTTAATAACAATATCTGGGCGGTTGGCCTTGATTGTTCTGTCAGTGTGAGTATTATTATTATTATTATTATTATCATTATTATTATTATTAGTTCCGTCGATTTCTGTATTATTATTATTATTTTTATTATTATTATTTCCTTGGATTTCTGTTGTATACACATTTCAATCCGGGTCCCAACCAGAGACCTAAAATCAAAAATGGCTCGATGACAGTACAGATTATTTAATTGTTGGAAGTTTTGTTACAGTTATTTGAAACAAAAGCAAAGGACAGTAATTTAGTAATTTAAAACAGAACAAAAACACAAATGCTGTATGTGATGTTCAAACTAAAGAACTTTGGCAAAATACTTTGGCATTTTTTACTCCCCAAGCTGGATGTTCTTTCTTAAAGAGAACAATCATATCGCGTTGAAAATTTGATAACTGGCATCCTGGAACAACAAATGGTTAAAAATTTATGTCAGTTATTTTTTTTAGTTCATTCATAAAGTAAAATATATTGTTATTTTTTATATGCTAGTTATTTTTTTTTCATCATATAGTTAATTTAAAATTTCCTGTTCTTTTTTGTTGTTGTTGTTTTTTGTGCTCCCTTAAGATAAAAGCTCTTAATAACGTGAGAGCTGTAATTATGAGTGCAATTGTTTGTATTACTTTAAGGTAGGGCTACCAGGAATCCCACCAATTAGTCTATCGAAACCATTATCCAATCAATCTGAGGCCCCCGACTACAACTGAAATTATTACTGTCCTCAAGTGTCACATTTTTTTTAGATTTTCACTTGAAAATCCTCGTTATTATTATTATTATTATTATTATTATCATTATTATTATTATTATTATTATTTATGAATGTCAGTAGCGTGAAAATTCGTGAAATAATAACTAAAAATACACATGCGAGCGTTATCATCTCCTCTATCTTTCTTTCTTTCTTTCTTTCTTCAAAACAGCGCCTTTAATATATCTTTTCTTCCGTCTATCCTCGCAATCAAACAGGAGTGGCCCCTTGTTTATCTGATACTTGTGGCAATTTAGTAAAGGCTCTAACGTCTGCACTAAAGAACAATAATAGAAGCTGAATTATATTATAATATGACTTATGTTCAGAATCTTTGCAAAATGAATGCATATATTTATTATTCTTGGTGAAATAAAGCAACAGATGATGATGATGATGAATAGCTATATATATATATATATATATATATATATATATATATATATATATATATATATAGCCTTTATGAGTTGCACAACAGCTATATTTTTTAATTCATTTACATAACAGTAGCATTTCAATTAGTACTGATGATAATGATAATAAAAATAATAAGAAGAAGAAGAGTTCATTGATTTGTTTTTACAACTTACCAACCAGTTGCTGGTTATTTAAAGCCAGAAATTATATTATTAGCTTGTAATAATTTTCTTTTTTTTCTTTTTCTTTTTTTTTTTTTTTTGGTGGGGGAGATAATAACGATTTAGTGATCCAAAGTCTTACCATAGGTGGGAGAAGAAGAGGTGAAATCATACATTTCCCAAGGGTATTTGCGTGTAAGTGAATATAAAGAACATGACTGAAATTTGAGCTCAGTTCACCAACAAATTATTCTGACTTATTATTCATTACATAACCCACAAATTTAAGCTAACAGAATCTGGTATTCTCAAGTGGTCATCCATCAAGGTACTGACCAGGCTTGACGTTGCTTAACTTCGGTGATCGTACGGGAACCGATGTTTACATTAAATATGGCCGTAAGCCAAGAAGAAAAAGAAAATCAAAAGTCAAAGTCCTTGACTATTACTCGCTGTAAAACATTTTCTACCTTTTTTTAGGAAATTTGAAATAATTTCTGAATTTTGGTGATAAGAAGTTATGTGTAAAAAATCAGATATATAATTTCCTACAATTTTTCGTACCATTATTCTCCTTAAAATAATGCTTCTCCACATGAACTGTTTAATTTTGTATTAGCGCTTCAAGTTAAACGATACCCTCCATATAGCACCAAATACGGTATAATTTTAGTTTAGAGAAGGACTTAATATAATTAATACAAATATATAGTCTGTTACTGAGCTGATTGGTGTTACCTTCATCATCCTGACTCCAGAATTTCGTAGACAGACCTTCCAGCAATCACTCGATGCACTCGTCAGTGGATAAATATTTTCTTCAAATAGATTACATAGAAATGTATATATTTGTTTCTCCTTTAATAAACAGGGTAGCTTTTGGGAGGTCGAATGAATACTAATCTACGAAAGTTATTAAAAAAGAAAATCTTACCTATTTTTTTAACGAAAGGACCAGTCAGCTAAATCAGTGCCAAAAATATTTCTTAATTCTAAAATGATATCCCACATATAAATAGCCATAGACATAGCATTAAATATTAAGCTTACAGGATAAATATGTTAGGTAAGAAGGACAGACTTATACACTTAAAGAAAAGTAAAAGTTTTATACTATTACATTTTGTTAAGATACAAGAGCCACTCAAATTAGAGGGTTATTCAATGGTGTTGCATGAGCGAAAGAAGAGAAAAGTAAGATGTGCTGTTTGCGAACTTATTTAGGAGAGTTGACCTTAAACTTGAAAAGGTTAAGATAGTGATCAGAAAAACAAATGGGTGTTTCTTCCACAAAGTTTCCTCCGAGAAGCATTTCTAAGAAGATATCCGAGTGGATTTTCCTGTTTACTAATGGAATACGAAGATAATGAAGATGATTCGTCCCTTTTATACGTGGCATGGGGAATCTTAGCTGCAAAGGTCTGAATATCGTCCCTTTTATACGTGGCATGGGGCGTCTTCGCTGCAAAGGTCTGGACTGGTGAAATTAAGGAATGTAGTTCGTCAGAAGATTTGCCATGGAAATAGCGATAGAATACTGAGAGTTTTGCAACGTTTCGTCTGTAATAAAAGATTTTTATGAGCGGAAATTAATTATACCCAAAGCTGCGTAGTCGCTTTTGAAAACTATCTTGGCATTACCGAGCAGCTTCAGACGAGTTATGGCAGTAATATTCCATTTTTGGTTTAATCTGACTTTTGTAGAGATAGAAAATATCAGGAGACAGATACTTTCTATAGCAGTACAAGGAACAAACCGTTTTTCCAGCGTCTTCAGCTATGGATCCTCTATATGAGATTGTGTTGAAACAGACTTTCAAGGTAAAAAGACTCCATGAGAGGACACCCATTTATCGTGATACGTGTAAGTTCTACTCAGTGATGATAGTAGGTCATTAAATCTTTATAATTAATATAAAGCTTCTGATTTATATTAATTATAAAAATATATAGAAAAGTATATAGTATATAAAAGTATATATAAAAGTATATATATATATATATATATATATATATATATATATGTATATATATATATATATATATATGTATATATATATATATATATATATATATAAGTGTATAGAAAAGTATATAGTATATAAAAGTATAAAGAAAAGTATATAGTATATAAAAGTATATAGAAAAGTATATATATATATATATATATATATATATGTCTATATATATATATATATATAAGTATAGAAAAGTATATAGTATATAAAATATATAAAAAAGTATATAGTATATAAAAGTATATAGAAAAGTATATAGTATATAAAAAAAGTATATAGAAAAGTATATATATATATATATATATATATATATATATATATATATATATATATGTATGTATGTATGTATGTATATAAATATAGAAAAGTATATAGTATATAAAAGTATATAGAAAAGTATATAGTATATAAAAGTATATAGAAAAGTATGTAGTATATAAAAGTATATATAAAAGTATATATATATATATATATATATATATGTATATATATATGTATGTATATATGTATATAAGTGTATAGAAAAGTATATAGTATATAAAAATATATAGAAAAGTATATAGTATATAAAAGTATATATAAAAGTATATACATATATATGTTAGTGTGTGTGTGTATAAAATATATAGTATATAAAAGTATATATAAAAGTATATAATATATAAAATATATATAAAAGTATATAGTATATAAAAGTATATATATATATATATATGTACGTATGTATATATAAGTGTATATAAAAGTATATAGTATATAAAAGTATATATAAAAGTATATACATATATATATGTGTGTGTGTGTGTGTGTAAAATATATAGTATATAAATGTATATAGAAAAGTATAGAGTATATAAAATTATAGAAAGTAGGGCCGAGAAAACAATTTCAGGGATCATCCACATTGTTATCATGGATTTCGTGTATCTACCTGTTAGGAAGAACTTGATAGCTGAGAAAGGGCTTCCAATGAATCCATAGCGGGAGAGTTTCTGTAACAAACCACAATGCCACACTTTGAGATCGTCCTCGTGATGAATTCGTTGTTTAGTGCTTCATGGATTCTGTGAATAATGGCAGGATATCAACAGTGCACCTAGCAAAGCAGAATGAATATTGGTAATATCTCAGGAAGTTGTTCCTGTTGAGGTGATCAACACCTTTCTTGTTTATTACTAACTTGAAGAGTATGCTGGTGACACTAAGGGGGCTAATGAGTTTTTTTTTTATTGCGACGGAGATGAAAGCTTACCTGCATCCTTAAAACACAGGACATACAGTTGAATTTTCTACCTTGTTCTGATAGTCACAGACTTTAGTAAAACTGAACTATACTAGAATCGAAATCTAGAGATTCTTGACAGAACCCAAAGAAAAATCTGCAATATTATCTGCCCGGAGCTAAAATCTCAACTTTAATCGCTTTCCCACAACGGTAATTTAGATTAACTGTGCATTTTTAAAAAATAGTTTCATGGTAACTGATGAATTTTCCGCTTTGATACCTCGACTTTGATTTAATCATCGTATGACATTGGTAGCTTATTGTTGTAATTACTAAGTGTAGATTTAAGTTTTATGCTAGTTGTTTATTCTCCCACGCTTCTCGAAAGTGACACCCTCCGCCAGGTCTCTAGCTTCCCGATCATCTGTGATTTTCAAAAAGTATCTGCTTTCTTGAATATTGGCCATTTAATGTCCACTTTCTCTCCTTAAGGTTTCCTCAGTTTTTTTTTGTTTTTTTTTTACTCTAAATAAGCCCTAGTGCCTTAGTGGCTTTATCGCCTTTCTTGAAATGAAAACAAAGAACAAAAACATACAATACTGGTAATCTCTCAGGAGGTTGTTCCTTTTGAAATGTTCAGCGGCCTTCTTGGTTATTATTGACTCGAAATGTTTGCTGATGACACAAAGTGTGGGTAATGATTCGATATTGTGACGGTGATGAAAGCTCATTCTCATCCTTAAAAACAGGGCATATAGTTGACACTTTCCATAGTCTTGGCAACAGTAAAACCATTTTGCCAGTAATGTCGATATCTCTGGGCTGATGTTCTTAAGAACAAATATTTGAATTTTATCCGGGCCAGTAGCCTTCTTAGAGTCAAGGCTTTTGATAAGTTTGGAAACTTGCAATGAAGTGATAGAGATACAAATTTTGTGCTCCGATGCAATGGAGAAGACGGGTCGATATAATCTAATGTAGAATTAGAGATAAAATTCATTGCAAAAAGCCTTGCTTTGTCTTATGAGGATAATACAATCTCATAGCCAGTTATGATAGTTGGTACTGACGCTTTGCCTCTATTGAGAATTTTATTCTAGATTTTCCAGAACTCACAAGAACCAAACTTTTTGTTTTCAACATTAGCTTGCACTGACTGTATTTCTAATTTTCTAGAACTCTCTAGAAAATGAGTTCTGAATGCAGCAATATTCCTAATATCTAGTTATCAGTGATATATATGTTGGTAGTGACGATGATGAACTATTGCTACAGCAAATATTGGGGTGAACCAAGGCTGGCTATTTGATTTCTATTGGTATTTTTCTGTGGGATAAAACTGTTCATGCCTGAGAGGATCCATTCAGAAATGAAAGGCAGGTCTGGAATCTCAGTTGTTTCAGAAAGCTGAAAGGGGTGCTTGCGAAATGTAAGGTCCGAAGCTGTCCCAATCAGCTTTGGCGTAACGAAAGATCGCCCTTCCAAATGCGCCATCAGGGAATAGTTTCGATTTTTGTATCAATTTTAACAGTGACCAGCAATTTTACCCAAGGGATGTTATCCTGAGTATGAGAGTAAACTATATCCGACAGCAAACCCTCTGATCAGGAAGTTTTGAGGAGCGCCGAACTAGCAATCAATGTTGTTCTCAGGTCCACCCTGACCCGGGGTTGTATCAATTGTAAAAGTCCCAGCTATGGATAAAATAGTTAACGCCCAAACTAGTGTTAAATCATTATTAAAATATAAAAGTACATTTTTATAGTAAAATTACCATCAATACATTTTCATAGTAAAAAGAATATTACCAGCAACATATTTTTGAAAAAAAATACCAAAAAAAAATTACCTGCAATAATTTTTTTTTTTTAATTTAAAGTATTAATAGTCTTTAGAAAATTAAATTTCGGCATTAAATGACCCATAAGGTGTTGATATGCCGCTGAACAAACAACCAACCCGAAGGACGTAACACTTTAGTGGAGCATTTTTAGGGTAGTATGTGAGAATGTAGATTACGTAATGACCCGAGTGAACTTATCAACGATCTGAGCCAGATTGAAAGCGATAGATAAGTCAATATCTACCTTCTTCATCGTTTTTATTTGAGAAGATGAATCATTCCGGGTTGTGAATATCGAAGTCACCACAAATCTGAAT